TTTTTTTTTTTTTTTTGGTTTCTACCTAGGCAAAAGAGGTAGAAAAGGAAGCAAATGCATGGGCAGAGGAGAAAACAAATGGCCTAATCAAACAAATACTACCACCCGGCTCGACTAATAACCTCACGAGGCTTATGCTTGCCAACGCACTCTACTTCAAAGGAACCTGGGTAAATCCATTCCCCAAAATGCTGACGAGTGACCGTGAGTTTTACCTTTTGAACGGTAGCTCTGTTCTCGCACCTTTCATGACTTCCCCAGGTCCCCAATACTGTCGTGCATTTAGCGACTTCAAAGTCCTAAAGCTTCCATACAAAAACGGCCGTGATAGCGAGCACTATTTCTCGATGTACTTGTTCCTTCCGGAAGCCCTAGACGGCCTCCCGTCTCTAGTTCACAAGTTGGGTTCGGCTTATGGCTTCATACAGTGTCACGCCCCTTACAAACAAGCGATCCTGACACCCTTTTTCATCCCAAAGTTCAAAATAAGTTCGGATTTCGAGGCGTCTAAGGTTCTCAAGGGGAAAGGGTTGGTTCGTCCTTCCTCGCCCGGTGGTCTGACCGAGATGGTTCGGCAGTTGGGTGCCGAAGAGGAACTTTTCGTGGAGGAATTGTTTCATAAGTCGTGCATCGAGGTGGACGAGCACGGGACGGAGGCTGCTAGTGCTTGTGTGTCTAGGTGTGGGGATTGTCGTGGGGATTATTATGAAAGATTGGAGTTTGTGGCTGACCATCCTTTCATGTTTGTGGTGAGGGAAGATGTGAGTGGTGTGGTGTTGTTTGCTGGCCAAGTGCTTAATCCCCTATCTAGTTAGTATTTAGTACTTTAGTTAGTTAGTAGCATTGTGTGAAGATGATCACATGCAATTTCATCACAATTACCATATATTGCTATGCTTAGAGATAACTTGATCTAATTAATCTCTACTACTTAGTAGCATGTTAAGAAGATGATCATGCAATTTTACAATTTTCATATGCTATGCTTAGACTTGAAAAAGAAATAAAATGTCAATTTATTATTATTATTATTATTATTATTATTATTATTATTATTATTATTATTATTATTATTATTATTATTATTATTATTATTATTATTATTATTATTTGTTG